AAAACCTCTCTGGCTTTAGAATCGTCCACATAATACGACTGATCATCACGATTTCCTTGAAGCAATGACACAAGTAAACGTTCAAAATCACCACTCGTATCGCCCTGCACTGCGTCCACTAACGTCTTACCGTAACGCTCCTCGTACAAACTTCTTATTGCCCATATTTCGTCATTTGTTCGTGAACAAATTATTTCAATCAAAACCTTATCCTTTGTTCCAAGCCCCTGAATATTTCTTCTATTGCCGCCGAGTTTAATTTCATCATAATTAACAAAGTTATTTGCACCGTTTTTGAAATACATCAAGACTTGATTTCGTGTTATAACCATATAATTATTTGTGGATCATGTCCTGTAATCCGTGATTGCGGTCTAACTCGACTTTCATGATACCTCATAAGGCATGAATTAGTTTCGAATGGTATTGTTTCATAGGGTCTGTTTGTGGTAGTTTCTGAAGTTTATAACTGAATTGTTGGAACGTTGAATATGATTCCGCTTAGCACTCAATTTTCCACGCGTTTTTGCATCACGATCTGTTGAGAACATGATGTGTTAAACTGAACTGGTTAAGTTTTCGGTTGAAACATTAAAGATGGAACTGAAAGTTTTAAGGACGGCGATAATAACAGTTTCTGATTACAAATCAGCTGGTATTTCCTTGATTTCACATAACGTCTTCTTAATTTTTTTTCGATCCATACAAATTTGAACAAATCATTTACATGCATTGCTTTGTGCAGTTGCGTCACATCAAACATCGTTGGAGTTTCCATAAGAGCCGTTATTAGATCTTCCAGGTCTCCATGAAGTTCTTTTTTAAGTTTATGCGGTAACTCTTCACCGTAGAGCGTAACGTACTGCTCAGCAACCTTCAATTTATCACCTCTTATCACTGATAATAATTGAGTGTCACTAGTATATTCTCACTGCAAGCAGCGTCTTCAACAACATGAGTCGAGCACGTACCATTTGTCGTTGGGCATTATTGATGCGCACGATGTCATCGAGAACTTTCTGCTTGTCACAACTGAACACTCCATGCATCGCCTCTTTCAACGATTCAGCCGTTTGATTCGCATCAAAATCGGGTTGTTCCCATATCGTACCATAGAATGAGTCGTAGTACATTTTCGGATTTGGATTTGACGGTAAGACGAAAGCACCTCAACGGGAGATTCAACATAAAGTGTTCATAGTGCAGTATTCATATCGGTTCGGTTTTAATTCATTCAGTTAAATTCTAAGTCATAGAAATTTCCAACTTTTGAACTGCTCACATTTCAGTAGAAGTGAACGAATCGCGAAGCAGTGATTCGTTGGTTTGAACAGGGTCAAGAGAATTTAAGCACTAATGAAACAACAGAAAAACGAAACTTGACTTCTGCAAAAAAGAGCCGAATGTGAGGAGTCCTATATTATTAAGAGCTTCATAAAATTTTCATAAACCATTATTGAAGATCGCAATCATAGAAAATGTTTTCGTGCAATCGAACGCAAGTACTAGCTTTGTTAATGAGACAGAAACTGATCAAGTGAATTCTGAGTCGATGATTTTTCGAAGACTTTAACAAAGCAGTGCAGCATTCAGAAAGAAACCGTATAACATGCTCCACGCAGAAATCACAAAACCACTGCAGAATATTCATTCAAAATTTCATCTTATAACAGTCCAGCTTAGCAGTAATACACGTGAATTTTTATCTAACAATACCTCCCTCAAACGCTGAATGCAAAAACGCATCCCTATTCATCGTATTTTAAAATCATGAGACCAGATAATCACACATGAGAATTTGAGCCATCACCGCTTCAAAATTTAACGAGCAATCCACTGATCCTAATCAAAATGCTTTCGTTTCTCTTATTTTGTTTCGAAAGAGGATACTTCACCCTTATCAGCATACGTAGCACTGGATCAAAATATTTTAGAACGAGGTGAACTAATCGGATTCAACTGACAGTTTCGTAATCATTAAAAACGTTTTCACTGTTTACCAAAACGAAGTTGTACAGTATCTTTCTTATTTATCAATGTTCAAAATTAAGAAGATTGCCTTCGTGCATCTGCTGAGTATTCGTTTCATTATTGACGAAAAAGTTCTTAAAAATTTCAATTGTATCGAACGCTGCGACAAGTCAGCCAGTGCGAGAAATATAAGCGTTGTTTGTTGAAATATAAGCACCTGACCACAGATGGAGACAATCATTTAGAATAGATCATAGGTTTTGAAGGAGACGCATGATCCCTATGCTGATATCGTTAGCTGTGCGGAAACGGTGTCGACGATGGAAGAATGCAACAGTTGGAATATTGGTGATAACAGAGAGGCGTAAACTATAACTAATGATTTTTAAAAAAAAACATGGGCTTGACACTCAAATTGTAAACCATAAACCTAGTTTGCTGACAAATGGAATACGTATCGTCATTCCTGTGGAACAAAATCTGAATTGTCAACAAACCTGCCATATTATCATAATATCATAAATGATGCTAAACTACTTATCCTCTCAGTGTTTAAGCGTACGTCATCTTAAAATATGAAAAAAATGAATTGAATTATACATTAGAATTATGAAGATTGCAGGCACAGATGTGGAAATGCTGAATGAGAAATGAGCCCAAATTTTGAGTAATATAACCCATACGTAGATAAATATTTGAAAACTTTTGAGGAGAAATGAAATAATGAACAATGTGCAAAGTAAATATTTGCCGCAAATTTCTTTTTCTTGATGAAAGTATTTTTCCATTTTGATAGGTGTTGTGATGAGTAATTGTGCTATCTGGATTGCTTTGTGAATTGTTCTTTTATGTGAACGTTCGAATGGTGCAAATAATTCAACGAGTGTCATCATTAACATTCATCAATAACGAGTTTCATCAATCAATGTTCATCATTTCAACGACTATCGTCATTCATTCACGCTGATCCAAGCTGAAAATTCCAGATGAAAAAAAATGGAATTATAAAAGGTAAAGGTGATCTGGAGCTGATGAACACTGAGAGTGAGCGAACAGAGAAGAGAACAAATAGACGATTTGCAGGTAAAATAGAGTTGATTTGAGAAAATAAATAAAAAAGTTATCGTTCTCATAATATATCTTTGACAACTTCTCTTGTGCACGAACTCTCCTTCAAGCAATTCCTCTCGCTTAGAACTGTCCAATACTAATTCTCGCTTAGTCCTTCACCACATTACCACTCATTTTACATTCGTGNGTGCTATTCAACGTCTTGATCGAAATCTTCGCGTTATTTCATACCATACTCGTAACAACCACTCATCTCTTGTGAACGAGTACAGGCTCCAAAATGCTTTATTAACTCAAGTGACAATTTTGATATGTTAATAAAAGAGTACGATTGCGAAATAATACAATAATAAAATTTGCTATACAACACAACATCACTGCTCAATAAGTGTTCATCATAAAATCGCGTCCTATTCAGCTTGTTCACTCTCGATAAGGCAGATCCTGCAGGATGGACGAACGCTCTTTGTATTTCTCATAAGCGATAGCATAAAATCCCCTCTACAGTTAGTTCTATCCAACTCTCGCTTTGTTGACTTTTTTCTCTGGATTTTGCAGGTCATTTTTAATGTTTTGCAAACGGTGACTGCCAAGTGAAACGTACAAACCAAAAACACGACGCCTACAATCAAAAGAGTTAATCTTTTGTTGACTTTTCTCATTCTTTGCGCTTACTTGACTTTGCAATTTTTTACACAAATTTTGTGGCGTGCAAAACACATAATTGTCGTCGCGGAGTAAATAGAAGGAACCAAACGAACAGAGAAAAATCCAAACTGAAGGAAGAGACAACGTATTCACAAAGATTTCTGATAGAATGAAATCAATTCCCAGCACGATTCTTCTCATATTTTCCGATGAGTTCCACCGATTTGTCCCATAGCGCATCTTGGAGTGCTTCGTCGTGAGCTAATGCGCCACTGAGTCCGTTCTCACCATCACAACAGTTTTCGTAATATTTTCCACTTTCCTGTAAACGGATCACTTTTGATTGTACACCATCGACCATATTTTTGCATGGATAACTGAAAAAATTACTTATCTTAAGAAATTGGATGATGAAAATTTCAGTGAAGTCGTTCAGCTGACAATATGAAGATCATATTTGTTACGGTGGGATCTTCCTCAACGTTCCCTTCAATAAATAGTGAATGCAAAAAAATCCTACACTATTGAGATGCTCGGATACAGCACAATACACGGTGGTGGCAGCACCTTGCTGAAGTGATTTTGTGAACGGTTTTATTAATGCATTATACAGAGGAGCGAGGAAACCAAAGCCTCGAGCGATACCTGCAAAGTGCATCCGATTGCAAAACAGTCAGAAGGAAAAANAAAAATGGTTACGAAAAAGGAAAATGAATTCATTGATTGCACTAACCAGTAGAAGCGATCATAGTTCCTGGATGAAGGACGTAAGTGTTGACTCCATTTTGATGCTCCATTCGATGTAACTTCATTGCCATTAAAATGTTGCAAAGTTTCGAGTTTGCATATAAACGATAGAAGAATTTTGCTGAATAACTGGGCGTTAACGCAGTGAGAATCCGTAATTTTTCATCTGTTGACATTGAAGGGGCAATCTTCAAATTATCATATGAATTTACTCCCTCGTTTTTTGGAGGTTTTCATTGCGAGATAAAATATGGTATCAACGTCCTGCGTAATTATGACAGCAACAGAAATAATAACGACAACAAAAGGTAACAACATTACTGAAGATAACAACAATATAATGATCAGTACTGAAAGAATAATTGTGAAAAGAAAGCATGACAAAAATGAGTGAAACTAACTCCTGTATGTGTATGTGACACCGAAGAAACAATAACAATTCGTGATGGAGCACTCTCTCGCAATCGCGGTAGCAGCAGGTAAGTTAAGTAGAAGTGACCGAGATGGTTAACACCAAAATGCCTTTCATAACCGTCAACCGTTATCTTTTCCTGAGGTCCAAATACACCAGCATTCAAAATTAGAATGTGCAAAGGCCTTGAAAATAACTTCATTTCTTGGAGCTGAATTTGAAGTGAGAAAATTTTTAACTAATTGATTCATTTTAGTTTCACTGCAGACTAATTCAACGTACCTAACAGAGTTAATGCAACAGAATTGCAAGTAACCATCGACAAAAACACCCATTATAAAATCACACATGAAGAAAATGGAAACAGCCAACTTTCGTGGAATGCAATCGTTCAAATAAAATGTTCGAACATACCAATCTTTCGACAGGTAATTTTTCGCTGCAGCTTCTACCGATTGCAAAGAACTCAAATCCAAATTCAACAGGTCAATTTCGGCGTCAGGCTGTAATTCACTGCTAATTTCATTATCTCGAAGCGAATATATTTTTCGAAGTGAATTCTCAACAAATGTTTTCAACACTGCTACAAATGGATTATCAATGCGACTTTATCATAAGTTGAAAAACGATTGAAGAAACGTTTGATACTTTTTCTTTCATAATTTTATCGCGAATTTGCTCCGATGCAACCATATTCCTGTTGGCCATAACAATATGGGCACCACAAAGACATAAAGTTCTTGCCGTTTCAAGACCGATTCCGGAATTTGTTCCTGAAATGACCATGATTTTCATTGTTTCACAACGGATCTAACTCAATATCTGAACCTGCTGCTACTCTTGAGTAATAAAAAGTAGATGAGAGTCACTGAAGATAACATAGGAATCACCGGTTATTAGAGCAGTTTTGCCTTTCAAATCAACATCATTGATGAGATCCAATGCGTTCGTTCCTGAATCATATTTTGGATGTGGAACTGACTTTGAATTGGGTGTTTCAGATTCACTGCCTGATTTCGATTGTCCACATTGCTCATTTTGCGGTTGCTTATCCATTCTAAAACATCAGCTATCATATTATACGTTGAACCTAGCAAGCAAGACACCTCATCGCTTGTACAAACTGATTAACGGTAATCATCCCAACGCATACTCAAATGTGTAGGTGAAATTTCACGGTGATGCTAGCCAATGGAAGTTCGATTGGTGAAATTCGGTTAAAATACCAAATTTTGAAATTATTAAGATGGATCCGGCAGGATCTCAACCGAAAATTTTGGGTTGCCATCGGGATATCGAAATTTCAGATTCTTCAAAAGCGTGTTCAGTTGGTTGCCGACTGAATCGAAAGTTCGTCCTATTACCATAATTATTTACAAGGAAACCTCACGAAGTTACCCCCACCTTTCGGAATGATACCTATATCATTTTGTAGGGCACATGTAGCTGATCGCGGATATGCAAAAAATTTTTGCAATGGACAAGGGGGACGCGAGTTATGGCGCGAAAAGGGTTTTCAGTGTATTGAAGTGAGGTTCTAAATTCCCATCGGGCATCGGCGGGTAGTGCGCCAGCATGAAGTGAGAACGCCGGGTGGTTCGATTCCGCATGCTCGCGAGTTCGATTCAGTTAGTGACGCGAATGTAAATGAACCCCTCAACTCCTATTATAATTTTCCATTTCCACGCGAAACATCTGAAGCAAATAGAAAAGCGATGCAGAAACTCCTCGGTGGTGTAAAAGAGGTCAATTTTTGGGCAATATTTTTAGAACTTTGCGCACCAGTCGCAAAAAGAATATGAATCCAGCAATCAAAAACGGAAAGCAATGGAAAAACATCCGTCAGTGATGAAAAAATCGACGTTTATCAACAAATTCATTCATTTATGAAGAACAGAGATACAATGAAAACTTGAGAAATTATCTCCGAGATGGACGAAAATGCAACCGTTCAATCAAAGTGATAACTGAGAAAGAAGTAAAATTCATGAGTCGATGAATATAAATTTGAATCACTATATCGTGGAGACGGTTGAATTGTTCCGGTATTGTTGAATGTTGCAAGACAGAAACACAGACGAAAGCGGTATATTTTATTGAGATAAAACAGTTTATTGCAAACAACACACTTATGATAGCACGGTGGGATAAACCACTATCACCACGGGTAGTTTATAGGATTGATACGATTGGCCGACTGGAGTTGTTAATTCACCCTAGGTGACTCGAGATAGAGTTATTTATATCTTTTTTCATGAGGCGGTACCTGTTACTTTTGCCTGTTACTCATGTTTTAGTGGACTTATATTATGAGGCGAACCGTGTTGATTACTTTCAATGAAGTTATTGATGGAACATATTTAAGTGGAAGCTTGAAGATGGTCATACAAAAACTCGTTTGTGTATTTTCGTCAGCGGAGCTCGCGAATAAAAATACGCAAACAAGTTTTCGCATGCCTACCTTGACATTCGCGAATGCAAAAATTGTTTATTTCAGGTTGAGGTTATATTAGAGGTGAGGAGATTGACGTGTTCGTGGACCTTGTGTGAGGTACTACTTGTTCGAGTTCAATATCCGGGTTATATGGACGTTCGTTGTTAGAGGAACAGATGGGAATTGAATTCAGATGTTCCCACTTGATCCGATACATCCGGTGAGTCTCGTGTAGAGCAGAAGCCTTGCGGTTGTTAGCAAGGCTACTCCGATAGCGATTGTGATGATTACATAACAGCTGCTGGCGGTATCAAGAATGGCATATGTTTCTTCCACAGTTTTTGTAGCTCTTTTTTCTATCACCCGTAGTATTTTCTCACGTTCGTTTCTTAAGCTATCAAAGGTGCCGTCCGTTGGTAAATCTGAGTCGACGTCAGTGATGGCTTGTTGCATTTCCGAATGCGGCAGAAAAAGCGCTTGGTTGATACGTTTCCTTTCTAAATCAGGTAACAGAATGGCCTTGAATGCGAATTCGGTAATAGCCGACTCGGATGACGAAGATTGTGAGTCGGTTGTAATGTTACTTTCACAGGTGGACACAAGTATTGTGTCTTCAAATAGACGTGTTACTTCGACGTCCGAACACTGCGACGGGATTCCGGCAGCCATTGTTAGTGGGCTGGTCCTTGCAATGAGATTAACGGCATTGTTTGATTCACATGTTAATCTATCCATTGTCAGGAATTGCAGACTGATTTGCTTGCGGAGGATGTTGTAGACGAATTGCAGTTTGGCATTGACTGGATCATGGGGTGATCCAGAAGTGTTCCAGTAGAGAATGATTGTTGTTCTCGGTGAAATCTTCACTGATATAGGGTGAAAGACTGACCACGATTTACTTTTATACTTACTTTTTTGGGATTGGACGCCATCTATTTTGGAAATTGTCCATGTATCTTTTCGTCATCGAACACCATTACGAAATCATTTCTAAAAGGCAGACATGACTTAGATTGCATGCAAATAGGAAAGGGTGATAACGTCCAAATTTGAAAGAGCCTTCAAAATGTTTTATGTTGAGGAGGTGGAGTGTAGATTACACATCGTAGGTTCCAATGGGTTTGTACTGACATTGTGCGTGATGTAGACACCGAAGACAGCAACTGAACCGCAATGTAGCATACAATTGGACGTTATCTTACATCTAGTTCCAATCCAGCCGACGGGATAATCTTCGGAACGTTCGTTTCCCATCAGTTGTTCGACCGTTGGACCGTTTGATATCTATCAATTTTCCTTCTGCTCTGCACAGAGTTGAGGTGCAATGCCGGAAATAAACTGAGAGTCGGAAGTCAACGCTAAGGTGAGGTGGACGAATAAATTTGTACACACCGTCCTAGAGTGGTTAATACATGAGTAAGCTCGAGTTGCAACGTATGTCCGAGTGAAGATCGACGTTCTTGTCCATATACTTCCTTTAGGTCGTTCCGATACATTTCCCTGCTTACTGAACTTTCGGTAAGCGGCGAAATGTATCGGAACGCCTCCTCTTGGGTTTCCGCATTTTATTGCTTCTTTCAGTTGCATAATAATGGTTAGCAGAAGGAACGGAGACTAACATTGGACTGGTCCTGAGCTCTCGAGTTCATTTCGATGCTGGAGTGATTAGGTCGATGGGTCTTGTGATTTGAAGCGATTCCTCATCTGTGTAGGACAATGGTATTCAGTTTACCAAGGACTCGCATTTGCTTAGGAGAGTTTTAAGGTTTTCGCCGTTGATAAATGCTCGTCCGATCATTTGTGTGAGGAATTTTTGGTGGTCTGAACCATTCTTTCGTAAACGCCTCCTTGCCATGGGGCAAATTCGGCCATATTCTTCCACTGTATGCGGTTAAGAATTTGGTTCGATAGTTTCATATGTATGATAGAAATCACGGTTATTATCATTGAGTGACTCGAGTTCGCCATAAAAAGTGCGTTTGAGTTGGGTTGGATCGCCATATTCTTCCTCAAGGAATTTCAAAACAACGGCGTCTTGACGATTGAAATCTTTGAAGACGATTGAAGACAACAAAATACATAAATATCTCATTTATAAATATGAAAACAATAATTCAATCTAGAATTCTGCAACACATCCACCACAATGTAATTATACATTAGTCACAAACCAGATACCTATCCCAAATATTTATTTTCGTACCAAAAATCCAGAGATGGGTAATAGCGCGCTACTGTGTTCAAAAGCGGAAATTTCTAGCGGTAACGTCCGCTATTGTCTTTGATAAGCGCTTCATTGACATAATTTTTCGCGAAGGCTAGCGCTTCAGCGAACTTATTCCTCTATCTGTTTGTCTGTAANACATATTTTTTCAACATTGAGGCATGTAAATACATTATTGCGCCTAACATTACACTAAATTCAAACCTAACTTACTCGCACTCTTCCAAACGTCTTCAAGTTGAATCGAAAAATTACAGCTCGAGACATCAAAAGTGATGTGTTAATTGCCTCCTACTATTATGCGAGCTCAACAAGTGCAAGATCACTGGTTCACTGCTATCGGCTATTGAAAACAACCGATGACAATACTAAACAACGATTTCAATTAATGTAGTCCATTAGATCTACAGCGATCAGCACAGTAATTATTCCATAGCCAAACAGTAACGAATGCTCGACAAACCACCACTCAACGTTCAAATAACAAAGTAACAATCATAACACCTCATTTGAGTCGGAGCATTAAAATATTTCAGAAACATTCGCGACGAAATTTGTCGTTGACAGTTGGTCTGGTAATATACGACGAGAATTTTTGGTGAAATGAAATCGTTAATCGGTGGAAAGAACGAAAAATTGGAACTCTTCGCCTCTTTTAAAATTGTATAGACGGGAAACGAAACTGTTAAAAAAGGCAACTTTTTTACCGAGAAGCAGATCAACGTAATTAAAAACGGCTTCAAAGTTGCTATTGTGTCATCATTATATTCGACAACAAGGGAAATATTAGTGACTAATAATTTCCACAATAAGACGAGGTATGATATGAT